ATATATATATATATATATATATATACTGTATGTTAAAACTGATGCGCGGATTAACGTTGAGGTAGATTTAGTGTGATTTGATTGGTTTTCTGAGATCTGTTCAAAGGATTTTTGTCTTTCTCAGCAGCAAGAGTCCTTCTGCTAATTCAGTTTTTATTACATTTAAGTTGATAGTTGTTGCTGCCAAAAGCACTAGGAGAAATGGATCAGTCCACTCGACGCTCACTAATAACTTCCTGTCTCTCTCTGTTTAGTGTCTCTCGTCCACACGCGCCTTTCGTTGATCAGGTGTAGTTTTCACTCAGTGAGACGTGTGGACTAGCAATCATTCAGATCTCTTGAAATCCGATCCTCTTTGCACAAAACCCATGATACACGATATAAAAAAAGTAAAACAAACCCTGATATTTGGAGCTTGTTGCTGGGGTTTCATTTTATTAAACTGGAGCATTGTGTTTGCGCTGATATAGAGTTGCTATGGGTGTGTGTTTAGGCAGTGCTAAGGCATTGCTAGGTGGTTAATAGGATGTTCTGAGTAGTTGCTAGGGCTTTGTTGTGGTTGCTAGGGTGTTCTGGGAGGCTGCTAGGGCATTACAATATGGTTGCTAGGCAGTTGATGGGATGTTCTTGGTGGTAGTTAGGCAGTTGCTAGGGCTTAGGCAGTTGCAAGCATAGATATGTATAGGTAGATTCCTCATGTTTCTATGGGCCGCTATGCTTAAGCCGTCCGCCATATTGGAATGTCAAGGCCGTGCATCTGCACTGTAACTGTAGTTATACACATGTATGAATAATATATATCTTCAGTAGACTTCAGAAGATGCTTTTGCTAAATTAACACAATACAACAAGGCAAAGCCGTTAGCTAACAAGGCATTTAAAAGGTACTGTAGTTTAAAAACCTGTAATATTGAGTTAATAGATATTAAAAACAAACATATTCTTACCTGTGAAAGTTTATCCAGTTTCTTCAGGAATTTTAATTAAGACGGTTTTTGCAACCAGATGCTGCACAATGTTGTTGCATCTTGAAACTCATTGATTTTTATTGTGACGACATTGTCGATGTTCCAAGATGGTAGATGTGTCTACGTGCTTGGATCGGTCGAATGAGGAATCTACCTATACACATCTATGGCTGCAAGGGTGTTCTTGGTGGTAGCTAGGCAGTTGCTATGGTGTTCTTGGTGGTAGCTAGGCAGTTGCTGTGGTATTCTTGGTGGTAGCTAGGCAGTTTCTAGGGCTTAGGCAGTTGCTATGGTGTTCTTGGTGGTAGCTAGGCAGTTGCTGTGGTATTCTTGGTGGTAGCTAGGCAGTTGCTAGGTCTATGATCCTATGAAATTCTTTTTTTTTTTTCTTAAATTATTTTTTCCTAAATGCTGTTTTAACTAATTTTAATAATAATTTAAATTCAGGAATAATAATAATAACAATAATAAATGTTTGACGTTTTTCAGAAATTCTGTGTTGTTTTTCTGAGTGTGTTTTATGCATCATGGAAATCATAGGGCCCTATAGGTGTTATAGATGGTTGCTAGGGCATTGCTAGGAAGTTGCTAGGGTGTTTCAGGTGGTTGCTAATTTGTTGCAAGAGTGTTTTGGGTGGTTCCTAATTCTTGGTGGCTGCGAAGTCATTGCTATATGGCTGCTAGGGTGTTTTTGGTGGTAACTAGGCAGTTACTGGGTGTTATAGACGGTTGCTTGGGTGTTGCTAGGGTACCCCAGTCTTTCACTCAGATATCAAAGTTGAATTTTGGGTTAACTGTAGCTCTGTAATAATTTTCTATTGTTAACCTCCTAATTTTTTTTAGTTGCAGAAACAGTTGATGACAGTTGTTGAAACAGTTTAAAACAAATTTTTGTGAAAGTGTTAAATACTACATACAGATAAAAAAAAAGAAAAGAAACCTGTGTACCTCAGTGGCTTTGCTTTGCTCTGTCTGTTTTTCAAAGTGAACTCATTTCATTCGGTTCCTGTGTAATGTTGTCTGTAAACACAGCAGTCGGATGGCTTCTGGGAAACGTTCCAGGCCGGAATACCTGAACGTTACGCTGTCAGTCTGATTTGTGGGCGGGGCATCGTGGGCGGAGCCTTACAGACCCTGTGAAACGCTACGGGAAGCTTTCCACTGTCATTTCGGAATGTAGTCGCTCAGTTTAACCTGGTCAAATTTGGACATGAGGTGAAAGATGCATGACATTAAAGTGCTGATAATAAATTGGATCATATTTATATTCAGAACATAGATCATCTCTTTCTTTAGAACAGCTTGATACAGTAATAACTCAGATGTTGTAGCCAGAACCATCTGAGGACAGTAGAAACCACAAGTCCTGTGCCTTTATATGGATAAACACACACATTAAAGGAACATCCAAAAATGAATATTTGCTGAAAATGTACTCCCTTCAGACCATTCAAGATATTGATGAGTTTGTTTCTTCATCAGATTTGGAGAAATGTAGCATTATATTACCAATGCATCCTCTGCAGTGAATGGGTGCGGTCAGAATGAGAGTCCAAACAGCTGATAAAAACATCATTCTGACGGCACCCATTCACTGCAGAGCATCCAGTGCTGACCAAGTGATGCAATGCTACATTTCTCTAAATCTGATGAAGAAACAAACTCATCCACATCATGGATGGCCTTTGGGAACATTATTCATTATGTTCTATATTCTAGAAACGGTATTTCAGTTGCAGTGAATTTAAGACAGTGTGTTTGAATGATGCAGTTGTGTGTGTGTGTGTTTGGATGGTTTCGTTTCCTCTTTGTTTCAGAACAGTCACAAGAGTTCACAAAAATATCATACTGCATATTAAAACACACACTTGTTGTAATGGTGCCAATCTGCAGAGCTTGTCTCTGAGCAGGAAGTTGGTCGAGAGATTTCAAAAGCGAGCTATCCACGTGCACAAGTGTGTGTGTGTGTTCCTGTGCAAACGTCTCTTGTGTGTCATCATGTAGCGATGAACAGGAAGCTGTTGCAGCCGTTCTCTCTGAGCGGAAGCCATGGCTTTATGTGGTGTCAGTGGCTCTAATAACAGACAGAACAGTGTATGGTCTGAAGAGAATGGGAGAGGAGAGGAGGTGATGGACAGTGAAGGAGATGCGGGAGATTGTTCGTTGGAGGAGTTTCCCTCCAGCCCAGCCCCAGCCCCAGCCCCAGCCCCAACGGAGGCCGAACATGTGGTAGGAGCTCAAAATCTGCTCAGTTCACATTGAACTGTCTGTATGGCACTGATCTGCAGTTTGTTATTCACCTAAAACCTCGTTCCACACCTGTATGACTTTATTTTTTATTTTAGAACATAAAAGATGATATTTTAAAGAATGGAGATATTTTAGTATCTTTAATATACTATTGTTTATGTATTAATATTTTGAGTTAGTTTATATATATATATATATACGTTTTAATTTTAGTTAAAGTTTTAATAACTTTGTGTTTTTGTCATTTATTTAATTTTTTATTGTTATTATTTTAAATGTGTGTTGTTTTTTTGGTAACACTTCCATTTGTTAGCATTAGTGAACTATATGAAGTAACTAACAATGAAAAATACTTTGAAAGCATTTATTGATCTTTTGATGTCAGGTGATTTGAAATCAAAGCAGATTTCAACATTTACTAGTACATTTTTCAAATTAAAAGTTGTATCTGTTAATATTATTTAACGGACCTGAGCTAATATGAACTAATAGTTGTATTTTTATCAACTAAAGTTAATAAAGATTAACAAATATTGTCAGAAATGTATTGCTCATTGTTAATGCATTAACTAATGGGAACTTATTGTAAAGTGTCACTGTTTTATTAACATTTATTTCAGTTTTAGTCTGTCATTTTAGTACTTAAACTAAATGGAAAAAACGTAAACCAACTTAAAATAAGTTTCTTTTTTTATATATATATATATATATTTTTAGTTATTGGGCCCTATCGGTGAAAAAACACTTAGATGATTATTAAAATGTCGTCTTTTATGTTCTGTTTTATTCTTAAGTCTTACAGGTTTGAAACGACATGAGGATGACAGAATTTATTCTTTCAAGGTCTGAACTAAACTTTTGCGAGACAAAGATCGTGGTGATGATGATGGTTTATAACTGTTGTGTTTTTGCATTTGTGATGTTTCTGAACTGTGTTTGTAGTGAAACTAATGCTGCTCAGAGCTTAGTGGTGTTCACAAGACATTCGACTTCCGTAATGAGACATGTTTCTGAGTGAAACAGGATATAAAGATAAAGAAAAAAAAAATCTGATTAAATGATTGGATGGTGAACATGTCTTTGTGTGAAGGTGGCTGATGAATAAGATGAATTGATGACATGAGAGGAAAAGGAAAGTCGTTGCAGAGGAGGAGAAAGTTCAAAGTATGAAGACAAACTTTATTGCATTAGAAACGTGATCTGATGGATCATTCACAATAGACCAGTAATGTGTATTTAAATACATAAGATTCAGACCCAAATGAGTCAAATAGGAATATATACTGATAATAATTTGGTTTAAGGATTTCAAATAAATTGCTAGTAAATTTCACAAATAATTATAAAGAAACAGCAAGTAACATGTTGAATTAAACATGAGACTGAAATAGTGTTTTGTAAAACATACGCCCAATAATCTTTGTTTTATTCACAATTTTGACTGAGTAGAGCTTTAAAAGTAACATGGAGAGCAGCTCAGATCCATTTGAAATGTTTATACCTTTATGCGTCCACACTGAGATCTCTGACTTTTGAGATCGTGTCTAATTTTAGATATTGAGATCTTTTCTGAAACTTTAGAGGAGATAAATGTGACCCTGGAGCACAAAAGCAGTCTTAAGTCGCTGGGGTATATTTGTAGCAATAGCCAACAATACATTGTATTTGTAAAAATTATACATTTTTCTTTTATGCCAAAAATCATTAGGATATTAAGTAAAGTTCATGTTCCATGAAGATATTTTGTAAATTTCCTACCGTAAATATATCAAAACATCATTTGGACAACTTTAAAGGCGATTTTCTCAGTAATGATAAAGTGTTTTTCACCCTCAGATTCCAGATTTTCAAATAGTTGTATCTCAGCCAAATAATGTTCTATCCTAACAAACCTTACATGAATGGAAAGCTTATTTATACAGCTTTTAGATGATGTATAAATCTCAGTTTCGAGAAATTGACCCTTATGACTGGTTTTGTGGTCCAAAGTCACAAATGTGCGATTAACTGGGTCCTTTTGAAAGGAGGAACATCAGGAAAGTTCAGCAAAACTCCTGCGAACTTGAAGGAACTATTGAGATTTGAAAGAGATTTCATTGTGGTTTTTCTTTCCTACATGCTTTATGTGTGTGTTTTGTAAGTGAGCTGCTCACGGCTGAACTTCCTTATTGAGTCACAATGTTCGTGTGTGTCGTTCGCTCTCTGTCAGCTGAATGTTTCTGCGGTGTCTTGAGTCTGCTACCTGCTCTATTTACACTGCCAGACGTGTGTTTAGTCTTAAAGTGGCTGCGTGAAGTGTGTTATATTTCAGCTGGGCGATGTTTGATTGCAGTTCAACTCAGTCTGTGCGATTCTTTTGTCTCTTGTGTCGGTATCGGCCAACACAAACAAAACACAAAAGAGAACTTCTGTTTGCGAGTCAACAGTCAGTTACCTTATCCATGATTATAAGGTTTCTCTTGATGTCTTTGACTTCCTCAGCATGAGCGCTGAACCGCAGAGCTGCCCTTTGCTCCTCACACCGCTGCTGACTCATGACGGATCACTGACAAAGACTACAACAGGAGTTTCAATTAAAGTTGCACAGATGAATTTAAATGCACTTGATCCTCTGTTGAGCCTTTTTGTATTTAAGAAATTATTGCTTGCTGAAACTTTTTGTGACTCTCTTGTGATTAATTTGATTCTAAATCTGCTTTTCAGTAATTCGTATTGTATAAAGTTAGTGCTATATGAATGTAAAATGTAAAAACGGCATTAAGATGAAATTAAAAATATATCAAATAAATACACTACTGGATATAAAAGTTTTGAATAATGAAGTTGTTTTTTTGTTCTTATGCACAACAAAGCCATTTGATCAATTACAGTAAAAACAGTAATACTGTGAAATATTATTACTGATTAAAATAACTGGTTTAATATATTAATCTATTTTTAATCTATTTAATATATTTTAAAATAATTTTGTGGAAACCTATATTGATTAAAAAAACTTTTTTTGAATAAAAGTATCATTGTTATTTTTATTTTTTTAATTTAAATTCTTTCTTTCCCCAAAGTTTCCACAAAAATATGAACCAGGACAACTAGTTCCAACATTAATAATAATAATAATAATAATAAATGTTTAGAGCAGCAAATTAGCATATTAGAATGATTTCTGAAGGATCATGTGACACTTAAGACTGGAGTAATGATGCTGAACATTTTTATAATATTTCACTGTTTTTACTGTATTTTTGATCAAATAAATGCAGCCTTGGTGAGTAGCAGAGACTAGCCCTTTTGTAAACATAAGAAAGTGCATATATAAAAAAAAATATATATATATTTAAAAAAAGGTTTTGCACTCTTTAGTTCCCTCACTGCCTCAGGTCCGCCGAAATGTTTACTGATGCCAAATATTTCAGTTCAGACTTCATGCTTGCACTAAAAAGCATCAAAGTCACCGCAGATACAGACACTTGATTTAATGAATGGCATTCACAGGTCTAATATTTGATTTCTCTTCATGTCTATCAGACACACTCAGAATCTGGTCTGGACTGCCGTACGATGTTTGAGATGTCAGTGGTTTTGGTCTAAGAGCAGGTGGTGTGTTTATGTCCTGCTGTGAGGGAGTTATTTCTGCTCGTACTGAATCAATGAACAGCAGTGCCGTCACTGACCCCGGGTCTGTGAAGAGTCTCAGACGCAGACATCACACTCTTTGTTTCAGTCTTTTGAAATCAGTGTGCTCTGGTTTATATCAGTCCAGGAAACAGTGTTATGTTTACTGCCGCAGTGCAAGATCTGTGTCATTAATACTTGGATTTTCAGAGTTTTTTTTCTTTTTTCTTTTTTTGAGGAACTTAGTAGCAAGTAAACTAGATACTCACAAGCAGAACTGATTATTCCACTTTTCTTTCAAAGTCATTTCTGTGAAACCATCATTGTTATAATTGCATTGAAAATCAAATTACAGAAACTACACACATATTTACTGTACTTCCATGTGTTTTCATTGATGCTTCATCTGTAAGTTGATGAAGCATCAATGAAGTATCAACAGATTTAACGACATAATTTTAAAGTCTATCTATCTATCTATTGTTCTATCTATCTATCGATCGTTCTTTCTAGCTATCAGTTTTATTGTTCTATCTATCGTTCTATCTAGCTATCATTCTAAATATCTATCATTCTCTTTCTCTCTCATTCTTTCTGTCTCTCTATCTATCTCTTCTGTCTGTCTATTGTTCTGTATGTCTATCTCTCTCGTTCAATCTGTCTGTCTCTTATTCGGTTCTATCATTCTATCTGTCCGTCATTCTGTCTATCGATCATCTCTGTCATTCTTTCTGTCTGTCAGTCGTTCTGTTGTTTTATCTCTCTCGTTCTGTCTATCTATCAATCTATCATTTTATCTGTCTGTCTGGTTCTTTCTGTCCATCTATCAATCTATCCATCATTCTATCTATCTTTTTTTCTGTCTGTCATTCAGTCTATTTATCCTTCTGTCATTCTATCTATTGTTCTGTCTATCCATACATAACCTCAGTCTGCCAGCATTGACCCTTGACCCCTCCTGTTTCTCCTAGGATTCGGATGGCTTGTCCGTCCTGGAGCAGCTGGGACTGGACCAGAACTCCGATTTCTCAGACTCCAGCGTACAGCAGCGTTTGGACGAGCAGCGAGAGAGGATCCGGAGAGAGATCCGGAAGGAGCTGAAGATAAAAGCAGGTGCGGAGAACCTGCGGCGGGCCACCACTGACAAACGCAACGCCCAGCAGGTGGAGAGCCAGTTACGCAGCTCCAGCCGCAAGCTGGACTCGCTCCACACTCAGCTGCAGGAGCTGGACGCCCACATCGTGGTCAAGGGTCACGATGACAGCAAAGGTCAGGGGTCATAATTATTAGCTTACCTTTAAGGCTGCATGTAAGAAATGAGTTTAATGTCAAATTCTTCATTATTGATGAGTGAATACGAATGTTCAGGGATGATGTGATTTGTTGTGAACATACGGCAAATTGATGTATATATTTACAGCCTTCATAACCCTGTTAGACCGTGACCCCGGATGAATGTTTGACCCTGTCTTTGACCCCCAGATGACCTTCAGCCTCTCGGGACGCCGGGTCGCTCCTCAGCCAATCAGGACAGGATTAAGGCTCTGGAGCGACAGCTCAACATCGAACTGAAGGTCAAACAGGGGGCAGAGAACATGATCCCCATCTACGCCAATGGGGTTACAAAGGTAATGAACGTCTATGTATCTATCTAATGTCTATCTCTCTGATGGTCTATATCTGACTGTCTATCTATTAGGGGTGTATAATGCAGTAATAGACCATAATCGATTATAGCGTACTGACGTCATTCGCATAAGTGCTTGTCCCGTGAGTATTAAAAAATGCACCCACTATTTTTAAATCCGAGATCTGGGCACATTTTGGAAAAACCAAGCTTAGTGCGGGAAAAAAAACATGCTCAGAATCGAACATGCATATGGCACGTGTGTGAGCTAGAGACAATCGCTGCGGGCTTCATTGCACAGGATATGCGCTGTGAGACACGCGTGCATTGCTTGACAGTAGGCGTGCTTCCATTACAGATTTGCGCAAAACTTTGGCAATATTTTATAAATAACTAAACTAAATAACTATAAATAACTTTATAAATAACTAAACTAAAACGTAACCTTTTGCCTCTCACGATAAGTCATGGCAATGGATTTTGGTGGGATTTTGACGGATTTTGGCTATATTTATTCAAAGGAGGCGTAAGCGTGTATCTTTACAGAAGCAGCACAGAGAGACGCTTCAGAAACATGCGTGGCGCGGCTGGAATAAACACAAGCATTGATGGAGAAGTATGAAGTGTATCTTGGAGGTTATAGTACATTGAAGAATGATCATATGACTTTTTACCCACGCAATGTGACCTGTAAATGCGGAAAAAACGTTTTCATTGCAGTTTTGCGAATTATTCCTTTTTCGCATTGCCTGAAAAACCACCTCATGCGAGTGTAAAAACATTTTTGCGATATATGGGCATTTTTGATTATTTCAGTGTTTTACTTTAGATGTGCTTTCATGTCTGCCGTTTGGAATGCAGCACGTATTAGATGCACGAAACTCACGTACTCACAGACTTTCCCGTTTGCTTTGTGTTTGTTTGTCCTGGAGCTTAATCGCGGCTGCGGTTAAATTCATCTCTGAATACGAAATTGATGTAAACACAGTCAGTTATGTTTTCAGATCAGCCACTGTCTATGATCTCATCAGTAATAATCAAACAGCAATAATGCTGAGGAAAAAAGAAAAACCCATAACTATGATTGCCTGTGAACTTTCGGACATTTAAAGCACTCTCAGATACTGAAAGTACTTTTTGTTTATCACTTGTAATTGTCTTTTTTCCCCCTTTAGTACTTTATATTTGCTTGTATGTTTTGAAGCTGTATTTATTTGGATCTTAACAATTGTTTTAAATTTATTATTAATTTGTAATTATTTTAAAAGTAGCCTGCTTATATCATTTAATAAAAATGCACAAAATAAATTTGATATAATCGTGATGCATCGTGATATCTATCTATCTATCTATCTATCTGACTTTCTTTCTTTCTATCTATCATCTGACTTTCTATCTGTCTATCTATCTGACTTTCTTTCGTTCTTTCTATCTATTTGACTTTCTATCTATCTATCTATCTATCTATCATCTGACTTTCTATCTATCTGACTTTCTTTCATTTTTTCTATCTATCTATCTATCTATCTATCTATCTGACTGTCTCCATTTATCCATCACTTTGTCCTTCAGGATAAAAAGCTGCTTCAGTCGGCTCAGCAGATGCTGCAGGACAGTAAGACAAAGATCGACATCATCCGTATGCAGATCCGTAAAGCTATGCAGGCCACCGAGCAGACAGACGACACTCAGGGTATGTCTCACCGCATAAAATCTCACTCCCTCCGACAAATGAGCGTTTATCAGCTTAACATGATAATAAAGCTCCTTAATGGCTTAAACACAGGTCCTTTAGCATCACTTTTCTCTGTTTGCCTCATTGGAGGGAGTCTCATCTCACGTAGTCAGACTTCTTCAGCATTAGTCTTGTCCATACTGCATCTCAGGTTCACTTTATAGTGATATTGTGATATAAGGCAACTAAAATGATCTCTATCCAGTATAATATTTCATATACGGTGAGGACATGAATCCATATGTTTTGCAAACCAGTCTGTCTGCTGTCATCTTGTCAAACAGTCTAATTCTGACAGACAAATGACTGTCTGTCTTCCCTGACTGCTGTGTGTCTGTTTAGACGTCAGAGCATCTCAGAGACGGTCCATCTTCTCAAGCTATTAAAGGAATAGTTCACCAAAAATTGAAATTCTGTCAGTTTATTCCACAAAAGGAGAAATAGGGCATAATGTTCAAATGTGTCTTTACAGTGACAGTTCAAAGTGACTACGCCAATAAAAATGGATGAAAAGCATCATAAAGCACTACAATCAAAATCTTATAAAGATTTATGAGATCTTTGTGACAGAAACAGACCCATATTTAATTTGCTATTCACTGATCATTTTCCCAAACCAATGGCGTTTGGCTGAAATGACACCAGACGTTTTACAAATCCAAATCCAGAACTTTGGCATAAAGGATGCCTTCCACTACATAATGAGTTAAATTTGGGTCTGTTTCTTACACAAAGCTTCATATGACTTCAGAAGACTTTCTGTATAATATAGTGCACAAATCATACGAACTGGCACTTTTTATAGTGTTTCCTGCAAGGGCGTAAGTTTGCTTCTGACATTGGTGGGGACATAAGAGCCAACATATTCATAATTCATAAACAGAGTTTTTTTATGCTAGCATTTTTAACAGACAATAATTACACAATTTTGATTTTGTGAACCAATGACATCACAGCAGCATCAGAGCACTGGGGGTCTTAAAGGGGTCATATGAGGCTATTTTCAAAGCTCATTATTTAGTGTATTGGGTGTAATAGAATATGTTAGCATGCTTTCATGTTAAAAAAATGCATTATTTTTCACTTGCTGCTCATTATTGCAGATCCTCTATGCACAGTCTTTCTAAAATGTCCTTGAAAGTGCACAGTTTTCAAACGTATTTACTTTAACTTCTTCAATATCAATGGTATGACATATTTCAGATGCATCCAAAATTACAAAAACATATAGATATATTTGATTGTTTGATCAAATATTGCTAGGGACAGTTTGGTAGTCACTGGATATTGGTAAGGGCATGTCCCTACCTAATTCTACGACTTGGTTTCCTGTGCTTCTTATACACTCTTAAAAATAAAGGTGCTTCACGATGCCATAGAAGAACCTTTTTGTCTAAAGGGTTCCATAAAGAACCTTTAACCCTTTAAGGGTTCTTTGTGGCGAAAGAAGGTTCTTCAGATTATAAAAAGGTAAGAAAGAGATGGTTCTTTAAAGAACCTTTGACTGAATGGTTCTTTGTGGAACCAAAAATGGTTCTTCTATGGCATCGCTTGAAGAACCTTTTGAAGCACCTTTATTTTTAAGAGTGTAGCTTGACTTTTTTTGGCTGTTGTATAGAAAAGAGCTGTGTGGAAAATCTCCTTTTGTGTTCCAACAAATAACAGAAAATTAGATAAATAATGACTCCTTTAGTAATGCCTTCATTGATAGAGAGTGAAAGGGTCAGAATTAAAGCGGCATGAGGAGATGTAAACAGAAAGATGAGAGCTGGAGGGAGAAAATGGACGGTGCTGAAGCGTGTGGCTCTAATGGACTCTAATGGCGTGTTTCGGCGCTGATGTCTCATGTGTCCTGGGGCCAGACGGCAGCGGCTGGTTAAGAATAGATTTATTAATGCCGCTCCACCCTTCGGCCCACTCGGGGAATGACGTCTGATGGCGATTTGCAACAAGAACTATAATGTGAAATCGCAGTTTCTACTAATGGAGAGCCCCATCCTAACATCCGTTTAGTTTAATTTGGTGATAATTCTTGTTTTAAGGTGGTCAGAGAAAAATAATGTCCATGAGATCTTGTCCTGTCAGTTTGATTCACCTTAATGTTGATTCTAAGAGCTAAAGTGCTAGAAATTACGGTTCACGTCACTTCTGGTTCGTCGTTTTAGAAATGGAAAGTCAGGTCAAGCGCTTTGGGTTTCTTGCAGCCCTCTCTGGTTGTATACTGCACTTTTTGGCAGCGGTAGACATTTATCTAGGTGCTCCATACATATTGTGAATGGCGTACAGTACTTAATACACAGTTAATATAGTATGAGCAGTTTGCCATTCTGAGTGTGTGTGAAAAGGTCTGTTCTTCATTAGCTGCTGTTTTAGTTAATCATTTCAGTTTTAGTGTAGTTTTCAGTTTTAGTCATTTTAGTTTTTAACTTAAATGTATTTTATTTCAATTAGTTGCCACAGCAACATTTCTATTTTTCATTTAGTTTATTTTATTTTAGTTAACATTTATTTTAATTTTAGTTTGAGTTTCAGGAATTTTAGTGTGTTTTGTGGTTTTTATTACTATTTAATATGTCAATTATTTTTATTAATTTCATTCATTTTGTTTAATTTTAGCTTTCAGTAATTTTTCAACCTAAACTAAATGAAAAAAGGTTGCTGTGGCAGCTATTTGAAATAAAATCAGGTTTTTGTATACTTAATTTCAGTAAATATTCATTTTAATGTTAGTAATTATGCTGTGTGTTTTTGTTGTTTTTATTAGTTTTGTTTTTTTGCCTATTTTTTTAATAATTTAAAAAAAAAAATGTAGTTTCAGTTTAGTTTTCAGTTTTAGTCATTTTAATTCAACTAATCTAAATGAAAATTAGAAATGTTGCTGTGGCAATAAGTGTTAAGGTTTGTTCATATTTAATTTCACTTAACATTTATTTTTAGTTTGTTTTAGTATTTTTATTTTTTTTTTAATGTTTTTTTTAGTTTTCAGTTTGTCATTTTAATAATAAAAAAAAACTTACTTTTTTGATTTTCATTTAATTTTATTTAATTTGAATTCATTTTTATTTTAATTTTAATGCAAATTTTAGTCATTTTGTTCTGTGTTTTTGTTGTTTCTATTATTTTTGACAACTAATTAAAATAAAATAATTTTAAGGGTTTATTTTCAGTTAATGTGTATTTTATTTCAATTAACGTAAGTTTGTTTAATTTTTTGTTTTAGTTAGCAATAACAGCACTGATCCAACCACAGTGCTAGTTCATGTTCACTAGTCCAGTATGCTGTGTGTGTCTTCAGTTATTAAATATTACTAATTACATTCACAAATCAAACACAAGCTCATTACAGATTTTCACTCAGCACATATATCTATCTATCTATCTATCTATATATATATATGTGCTCATGCTGAACGTATGACGGGTCTGTCCTGCTCAGGGACGCTGCAGGTGCGTCTGCTGGGGTGTGTGGGCTTGTTGGAGATCGTCCCGGGCCGCAGTCGCACGTCTCCGGTGGTTTTGCCTCACTTCAGTCCTGGAGACGGACGGCACTTCAAACTCACTCTGAGCAGCAGAAACAGCAGCTTCAGCCTGAAGACTCCCAGCAAGAGCGAAGAGCTGTCCTGTGAGTGTCTCTGTGCTTTCATTCTGATACAGTAGCGCTCAAAGTTTGGGGGTACTTTTAAATACTTTTATTCATCAAGAATGCATTAAATGGCTCAAAAGTGACAGTAAAGACATATGTAATGTTACAAAAGATTTCGATTTCAAATAAATGCTGTTCTTTTTAACTTTCTATTCATCAAAGAATCCTGAAAAATAAAATGTATCACCGTTTCCACAATAATATGAAGCAGCACGACTGTTTTCATCACTGATAATAATAATAAAGGTTTTTTTGAGCAGCAATTCAGCATATTAGAATGATTTCTGAAGGATCATGTGACACTGAAGACTGGAGTAATGATGCTGAAAATACAGCTTTGATCACGGCAATAAATTACATTTTAAAACATATCCACATAGAAAACAGTTATATTAAATTAAAATAATATTTCACAATATTACTGTTTTTACTGGACTTTCTTGATCAAAAATGTAGCATTGGATAGCAGAAGAGACTTCTTTCAAAAACATTTTAAAAACTTGAGATGTGGGCGGTCATATGTTAATGAGCTCTCGGCTGTGACATCTAATCATTGATATTTAAAAAGTCAGCCATTTTCGCAGTTTTGATTTTAATAAATCGGCTGGATTTACTAGAGAGGAAATTCTGAAATTCACAGTGTGGTACATATAGCCTCAATCTCATGTCAAAAGAGCAAGAAAAAAAGTTGTTTTCCATGATACGAGTCCTTTAAGTGTTGTAAATGTTTTTTGTTGAAGGGTGTACAGTGTTTAGCAACAGTGAATGACCGTCTGATGTGTTTTTTGTGTGTGTTTAGCGGAGGTGAGCGCCGTGTTGAAGCTAGAGAACTGTGTGGTGGGACAGACGTGTTGGAGGAGTGTTGGTGAACAGACATGGGATCAGACCTTCACTCTCGAGCTGGAGAGAGTGAGTAACACACACACACACACACACACACACACACACACACACACAGACACAGCGTACTCAGATATTCAGCTAATGAACTCGTTCAGTCCAGAGAGATGGAGATCGCCGTGTACTGGAGGGACTATCGCTTGCTCTGTGCGCTCAAGTACCTGAAGCTAGAGGACTTTCTGGACAATCAGAGACACCGAATACAGCTGGAGCTCGAACCGCAGGGACTGCTGCTCGCCGAGGTACAAACACGCACGCAAACGCATGCTAATGGGTCAAGCATGGTCTGTTTTAGTGGTACACTAAAATGCTTCTTTTTTTTTACCAAACCACCAATAAGTCACTCATGTCAGATATCAGTAAACCATATTACGTTGCAATTTCTAAAATTTTAGTAGGGATGCACAATTTGGGGGGAAAAGAAATCAGATTTTTCTGATAAATCTGTGATTGTGATTTAAAATGCTATTTGAAAATAATTCCAAGTTTGCTGTGTAGGGCTGCACAATTTGGCCAAAATCGTTTACTTATATATCAATACAACTATCAAAAAATAAGGAATTATTATTATTGATATAGAAATTATTATTATTATTATTATTATTGATCATATACAATGAAAAATCTATACAAATAATAAAATAAAAATAAAAACAAAAATCTTACTATTGTAATATTTCACTGTAAAATAAAAAAATATATACTATTTAAGAAAATAATTTTATTTTACAATACAACTGTAAAATTACAGTACTATTATTTATTATTATATTATCTTAATTATTTCACTTTCAAATGTTATACCATCAATTTTATTTTGACAGAAATCCGCAGGGAGCTCTTTAAAGGGATAGTTCACCCAAGAATGAAAATTACCCCATGATTTACTCATCCTCAAGCCATCCTAGGTGTATATGACTTTCCTGGCTCTTCTAAGCTTTATAATGGCAGTGAATGGGTGTTTTTTTTCAATGGTCTAAAAGAAGTCCAATAAGGTGCATCCATCCATCATAAAATGTGTCCCACACGGCTCCGGGGGTGAAAAAGGCCTCCTGTAGTGAATCGATGCATTTTTGTAAGAAACATATCCATCTATAAAACTTTATAAACCGTAATCTCTAGCTTCTGCTAACTGTCGTACGCGTGTTCACTCCGGCGGATGACGTAGGCGAAGCGTAAGGTCAGCTGAGAATATGCTAGCCTTGCGAGAACCGACGTTTGTTTACAGGAGCAAAGTTTCCTAACTTTAGCAAAGGAAAATCAGTCTCCTCTTGGCTTACATCGAAATCCTCCATCATTTTTCTTTACAAATCTTTGTTTTGTACTACTAATTCATGAACAGTGTTTTGTTTTGCTCTCTCCGCTGCACTCTCTCTCTCTCCGGAAGCTAGAGATTACAGTTTATAAAGTTTTAAATATGGATATTTTCCTTACAATAACACATTGATCCGCTACAGAAGGCCTTTATTCACCCCCCGGAGCCATGTGGGATACTTTTCATTATGGATGGATGTGCTTTATTTGACGTCTTTTGGACTATTGAAAAATAACACCCATTCACTGCCATTAAAAAGCTTGGAAGAGCCAGGACATTTTTTAATACAACTCCGATTGAACTCGTCTGAAAGAAGAAAGTCATACACAGTACACACCTAGGTTGGCTTGAGGGTGAGTAAATCGTGGGGTAATTTTCATTTTTGGGTGAACCCTATCCCTTTTAGCTCATGCTGGCCCCATGCTTTGGTAGATAGTCTGTACCTAATAAAACACGGTTTGTATTCACGCTTGTGTGTCACAGGTGATGTTCTTCAACCCTGTGATAGAGCGAGGTCCACGTCTACAGCGGCAGAGGAAGGTGTTTTCCAAACAGCAGGGTAAATCACTGATTCGAAGCCTGTTAGCAATGCATGCTGGGAAAAACACTGCGCACAAGAGCTGAATCCCATGCTGAATGCACTGGTAGCAGTAAAGGATACACTTTGAAATTTAGTATGAAGTTTGATATGGATGTATATGCTAAAAAACCTAGATATACATACATTATGTAAAATGTACTTGAAAATGATAAAAACTGCCTTTTTGTAATAATACGCCTGAATTAATCTATTTTAGTCTCAAAATAGCTTAAGTATAATATGATATAGTATTGTGAAGTAGTTACTGTATGTTCGTTTGCTCAGGTAAAGCCTTCCTGCGCGCTAAACAGATGAACGTCGACATGGCGACGTGGGTTCGTCTGCTGAAGAACGCCATTCCCATGAGCTCCTCCACACACAGCTACACACAACACACCAACACACAACACAGCAGGTACTGTAACACACCGCAAACACGCATCTGATCACCTGACATTCATCCTGACCGACATCATGAACTTCAAACTTTCCTCAGCAGCGAGATTTCCATCCAGAAGATTCAGCTGGACGGCGACTCTCCTCCATCTGTGACGAGAAAAAACACACAGACGTCAAGCACGGTAAACCTCAGAGACTTCACTGACTGAAAATGGTTGTCGGTCCTGTTTTAGCTGGCTACGTACGGCTCTGTTGACTCACGGTTATATATATGGGTCTTTGATGGAAGTGAAGCGAATATTTGAGCAGCTCTTCCCAAATACTGTGAAATTGTACCCATAAACTTATTCTTCTATTCTGCTTAGTTTATCTTGCATGGTTTGTTGAAGCTTCTGCTTGGTCTTAAAGGGATAGTTCACCCAAAAATTTAAATTACCCCATGATTTACTCACCTTCAAGCCATCCTAGGTGTAAATGACATTCTTCTTTCAGACTAATACAATCTGAGTTATATTTAAAAATATCCTGGCTCTTCTAAGCTTTATAATGGCAGTGAATGGGTGATATTTTTCAATAGTCTACAAGAAGTCCAATAAAGTGCATCCATCCATCATAAAAAGTGTCCCACATGGCTCTGGGGGGTGAATGAAGGCCTCCTGTAGTGAATCGATGCATTTTTGTAAGAAACATATCCATATTTAAAACTTTGTAAACCGTAATCTCTAGTTTATGCTAACTGTCTTACGCGTGTTCACTCCGGCGGATGACGGAGTCGTAGCGTAAAGTCCACTGAGAATATACTAGTCTCACGAGAACCGACGTTTGTTTACAGGAGCAAAGGAAGCAAAGTTTCCTTACTTTAGCAAAGGAAAACCAGTCTTCTCTTGGCTTACAGTATATCGAAATCCTCCCGACATTTTTCATTTCAAATCTTTGTTTTGTACTTCTTATTCATGACCGGCGTTTTGTTTTGCTGATTCGTCACTTCTCACCGGATCTTATGCTATGCTTATGTCATCCGCCGGAATGAACGCCCGTACGACAGTTTGCAGAAGCTAGAGATTACGGTTAATAATGTTTTAAATATGGATATGTTTCTAACAAAAACGCATCGATTTGCTACAGAAGGCCTTTATTCACCCTCCGGAGCCGTGTGGGTTACTTTTTATGTTGGATGGATGTGCTTTATTGGACTTCTTTTAGACCAAGAATGTCATATACACCTAGAATGGCTTGAGGGTGAGTAAATCATGGGGTAATTTTCATTTTTGTGTGAACTATCCCTTTAATGTTTTATGCATCGTTTCACTCAGCTGACTACAGATTTGTGTTCTCTATTTACACAACCAAGTAAACCCGAAAATCTAAAAATGTACAAAAAACTCAAGCGGACAAACAAAGGTTTTTACACAAGATTAGAACTCAGGCAGTTGTGTTTAAACCATTTAATTTTCATTATATAT